CATGGAGAGAAGCTGTATTGCCGTACCTTGTTGGGCTGATGAGAGATAGCCTTGCGTTGTCGTACATCCCATCACCGTGGAGAATAGCAGGGGTAATCTTCATACCTAAGGTAGGAAGGAAGGACTATTCACTTGTCAAATTCATCAGGCCTATTAGCGCAAGCGTGATCAGAGCACTGGAGAAAAGGAACATGGAAGCTCCTATATGATAAAGGCTGTATTGCATCCCAGGATTGCATGGAGTGAGAGCAAGATACGTCTTGGTACCCTCAGAGCTGGGTTTGTCCCCCTTTTATGGAGCCTCGTTGTAGATGAACTCCTTGAGATGCTGAAGAACAATGGAATTCGGTTCCAGGGGTACGCCGACGTCATTTTCATAATGGCAAGAGGAAAATTTGAGAACACTCTCGTTATAGTTCAAAAGGGGTTAAGCCTAGCCAAGGGATGGTACGATACGGTAGGGTTAAACATCAACCCGTTAAAAACAACCTGATGATCTTTCACAAAAAGGAGAATATGAACGTGGAGTTAACAATGGCTAAAGCCTCGAAGACACTCATGGTGTGCAGACGCCTGGTATCATCAGGGGGCTGTTCACCATGATCGTGGGGCCTATTGTTACATATTGAGCGGTGGTCTGGGCATCGAAAGCAACGCAAACTTCGATAGGTCTTCAACTATCGAAGCTGCAAAGACCTACCTGCGTCTGCGCCACTAGGGCAATGCGCACTTGCCCGACCGTAGCACTTGAGGTCATGCTAGAGCTCACGCTGCTCCATTTAGTTATTAAACAGATTGCGAAGCATACTACAAGGTGCGTTCCAAAGTAAACAGTACAAAAGTAACAAAGTAAACTCTAGTCGCGCCATCTATATGTCGACTAGTGCGTTAGAATCTGCTATCCTTTATCTACTTCCAGTAAAAATTTCATGACATTTCATCTATTGAAAGTAAAGTTATTGCGTTTTAAGTGCCTGTATGTTTTTGTCATCGGTGCGAAAATGAGCTTCGAACAAAGAGCCAACATTAAATTTTGTTTTAAAATTGATAACCGAAACGTTTCAATTGATGAAACAAGTTTATGGCGATGATTGCCTATCCCGTAGCAGAGTGCACGAGTGTTTTCAACGTTTTCAAAGCGGTAGTGAGGACATACATGACGATGAACATGTGGGCCAAAAAATCGCGCCTGGAGAAGTCAAAAGTGAAGACAATGCTGATTTGTTTTTTATGATTCCAAGGGTATTGTCCACAAAGAATTTGTTCCACCCGGCCAAAACGTTAATGCGGTATTCTACCTTAGAGTTTTGAAGCGTTTGGTGCGCCGTTTCGACGTGTTCGCCCCGAATATCGCGAAGATGGAAGCTGGCATTTGTTGCGCGATACTGCGCCGTCGATCGACGCTTGTGGCCGATTATTTAACCAAAAATCACATTTTAACAATCAACCACTCCCCGTATTCACCTGATATGGCACCGTGCTAAAACACTCGTGGTGGAGGCCTAGCCTTCATATTGCACAACACCGTGCAATATCGTCTAATCGATGTTGACATCGACCGCAGGGACACTACCCTAGAATGTCAGGGAATAGCTGTCCGGTCAGGCGATGTCGAGCTCGAAATATTTAATATATACATCCCCCCAGTTACATGTTGCCCAACAGGATATCACCCGAATATAGATGCGCTACTTCGTGGTGAAAACCGTCTGGTGCTAGGCGACTTTAACGCGCATCACGATCTTTGGCATTCCTGCCTGTCAAACGATCGTAGGGGGATGGAGCTGGCGGAACAGATAGACGATTCGACATTCTGCACAATGAATGACGAAGCCCCCACCAGAATTATGGGCACCTGTAATAGCTCGCCAGATATTACCATCGCTAGCGGTGGTCTGATAAATAGTATAACCTGGCGACCTATGCTAACTCTTGCATCAGACCATCTGCCCATAATTATCTCGATCGAGAAACCTCCTGACTTTATTTCTGTGGATAACCGCACCTATGTTAACTTTAACAAAGCTAACTGGGTCGGCTTCACAGAATTTACTGAGAGCACCTTCAACGCACTATCCATTCCTACGGACGTCATCGTTGGCGAGCGTCAATTCCGCAAGGTGATCGCTGCTGCTACAGCTCGCTTCATACCGGCTGGAAGAATAGCGGAACTCCGCCCTAATTTCCCAGCCGAAGCAGCTGTATTAGCAAATGAGCGCGACACCTTACGCCATGCCGATCCCTGTGATCCCCGAATAAGGGATCTCAATTTGGAGATTCGGCAAATGGTAAACCATCATAAGCGGACAAAATGGATAGAGCACCTGAAGTCCTGCAACCTCTCCACCGGTGTGAGTAAGCTTTGGACTACTGTCAAGGCCCTGTCAAATCCGAGGAAACATGACGATCGGGTTGAAATCCAATTCGATGGCCATGCCTCCTCGGACCCGAAGAAGTGCGCGAGCTACTTTAGCCGGCAGTTTATACTGCACCCTTCGACCGACAAGGCCAAACGATGTGTTACCCGACGGTTGCGCAAAATGCCAAAAGACTGCGCACCACTTACTTTCACCGATGAGGAGGTTCAGAATGTCATCAAAAAGGCGAAATCGTCCAAATCCATCGGCCCTGACGGAATAAACATGCTGATGTTAAAACATCTAGGCCCAACGGGAGTAAACTACCTCACCAAGGTCCTCAACCTGTCGATATCCACTCTTCAAATACCCGATGTGTGGAAAGTCGGAAGAGTGGTCCCACTACTGAAACCTGGGAAACCCGCCAACAAAGGGGAGTCTTATCGCCCGATAACTCTCCTTTCCCCAGTAGTGAAGACACTTGAGGCCTTGTTACTCCCGTCATTCACCCACCACCTGAGCCTAGCAGACCATCAGCATGGTTTTCGTAAAGTGCACAGTACCACCACAGCACTTAGCGTCATAAACGCCCAGATAGTTCATGGCCTGAACCAGAAGCCACCCTGCGAGAGGACGATCCTCGTAGCGTTGGACTTGTCAAAAGCTTTTGACACAGTCAATCACGCAACGCTACTTGAGGACCTGGAACAATCAACGCTCCCTCCAGGGCTGAAGCGGTGGACCATGAACTACCTGAGCGGTCGACACTCATCCGTACTATTTCGAGGTCAAAACTCCAAACTCAGGAAAATTAAACAGGGGGTTCCGCAGGGCGGTGTCCTCTCCCCGCTACTGTTTAATTTTTACATCTCGAAACTCCCCCAGCCACCAGCGGGAATTTCAATGACCTCGTACGCAGATGACTGTACGATATTGACGTCGGGCAATGGAATCGATGGCATGTGTTCAAAAGTAAACGGCTACCTCTCCGATCTTTCTCGCTTCTTTTCTGCAAGGAACTTAACACTCTCCCCCACTAAATCCACAGCGACCATCTTCACCAATTGGACGAAAGAGTACAGACTGGACCTGAACATTTCAGTCGATGGCACAAAAATTCCGACAGTAAATAACCCTAAAATTTTAGGCGTCACTTTGGACAGTCTGTGCTCTTTCACTCCTCACACGACCGCGATAACTGCCAAAGTACAGAGCCGCAACAAAATCCTCAAGTCGCTTGCCGGCAGCTCATGGGGAAAGGACAAAGAAACGTTGTTGGCAACTTACAAGGCAATCGGCCGGCCGGTCCTCAATTATGCAGCCGCAATATGGTCGCCTGGATGTAGTGACACGCAGAATAAGAAGCTCCAGACTTGTCAGAACACTGCACTCCGGACTATCACGGGGTGCCTCTTGATGTCCCCAATCGAACACCTACACAGTGAGGCCCGTATGCTTCCGGTTAAGGAACATAATGAGCTCCTCTCCAAGCAGTTTCTGCTGGGATGTTTTCGCAGAAACCACCCCTGCAGACGCCTGCTTGCAGCGGAGCAGCCTCCTAGGAACATCAAGAGGTCCTTCCTTGACTACGTCGACGACATCAGACAGCACGTCGACCAGACTTCGGACGCAACTAACTTCAGACAAGCACTGACCGCCATTCACAGTGGAGCCATTAACACCTTCACCGACTCCCTTTCAGTGAATGGCGTAATACGAGTCAAACCACCACCCATTGCAGACACAGAGCTCGAGTTGCCTCGCGAATCTAGAGTGACCCTCGCGCAACTTCGTTCTGGATACTGTAGCAGGTTAAACTCCTACCTATCCAGAATAGACCCCGACATACTAAACACATGTCCTGCATGCAATGAGTCTCCGCATGACACTAACCACCTCTTTGCATGCCCTACAAACCCCACTCATCTAACACCCCTTTCCCTATGGTCCGACCCCGTCGAAACAGCTCGTTTCCTGGGCCTTCCGTTAGATGACCTCGACGACAACGAATCTGGAATTTATCACCCTAACGGGGATTAGATAATCGTTATAACAACAACAACAACAACTCGTGACATGCTTTGGATCGTGCAAAAAGCTGTATTAAAGCAGAACGAGACTATTTTGAATAAAATTAATTGATTATGCCGATAAAACCATTTGTTCTGTCTTTTTTTTAAAGTCCTGTTTACTTTGGAACGCACCTTGTATACTCATGACAGCATAGGGGTACGGAAAAGGGAAGTTAACCTCGTCTCAACAAATTAGGGACTTCCAGGATAATACACCATCATTCCACACTCGACCTACTGTTGAGAGGCAGTACTATTTAGTGGTGAACTGACGGCTCGAAAACACCGGAAGGAATCGGAGCAGGCATTGCGGGACCGCATACCAAGCTTTCCATGCCCATGAAATGTTTTCCGAGCATATTTCAATCAAAAGTATTTGCCATAATTCAGTGTGCAGTAATAAATCTCTAACGCAACTATCGCAATAAGGCGCAAAAAGCGATATCAGCCTATGAGATTAAATCACTACTAGTGGAGGTGTGCATAGGAAGGATAAACGTTTGCCGACGAACTCGCCCGCTCTGCTGCTGCTTCTAGGATGATGGGTCCAGAACCATACATTGCGGTGGGGTCTCACACAATAAAGGAGCTCATCCGCATGGAGGAGAGAGTGGGCAGAGAAAGTCACTGGCAGCAAGCAACAGGTATGCGCCAGGTCGCGGAGCAAACCTCATACTACTCTAATTCTATTTCTAATAGCTTTATACAGTTTTAAATACTTGTGGAATATAATGATTTTTCATTTGAATTAAATATATTTGGACAGTGAAATATTATTTGTGAATTACAATAAAAAGAACTATATTTCAAACTCATCCAGAACTGGAGGGGATAAAATATATACCAAAAATAAGTGGAAATTTATAAATAAAATTTTTTTTTTTTTTAAATTGTACTTTCAAATATTTGGAGCCTTGCATGATTTCAATACATAATAATAACTAGTAATTAAAAACAATAAATGATTATCTGGCCTTAAATATTTATATAAGTTAGGTTCAACAAAATTCATGAGACAAATAAACAAATATGTATGTACATTCGGTCCATTATAATAAAGGAATTTTCAAACAAAACCTTGATAAGAAAAATAGTGAATATCAAGGAAAGCGATTCATTGACAAAAACAATTGATAAAGGAACTCGTCTTATGTGAAGAAAATTCAGAAATAGGAAGTATTTGATCCTGATTTAATTATATAAGGTTGAATTTGTAGTGATCGTCCTTCAAATAGTAATTATTTATTTTAAAGGATACATAACACCGAAATCACACCAAAAGATGTGATCTTAATGTATCCAAAAACGGTGTCAATAATAATATATTCAACTCTGACCCCATATTTGCTAATGGTTTATTATTGAGCCTCAGACTATGGGCTACAACATACTGTGGACAAATGAGAGAACAATTTGATTTTATCAATAAAAAAGTATAGGGTATGTCAAGATTACAAAAAAAAAAAAAAACATAAATAACTGTTGCTTACCAAGAAATATTGAGGAGTAATGTTTTTATCAATTAAGTCGGGATAAAAAATATTAAACTTATATCCTTGAACTATTTTTGGCGGAGGATTATCCATATCATAATGTGTTTGATTATACTTATTCCACTCAAAACCAGTGTGCACGCGATTGAAGTAACGGGGTTTACGAGGTCTATACTTATCAGATGCTACTTGAACTACTTCTAAGGGGACTTCGACAGAGAACTCAGCCTCGTCCTTTCCCATATCTTTACGCATTGCTTCAACAGTAAAGTTCTCTTTCTGTGATTTATTGTTTAATGTTTCAGCACGTAATAATTCTATTCCAAGATAACTCTCTTCTTCTGTGGCAATCGGTAAATTGTTATCGTCCTCCAGGCTTGATATATATTTTGGAGAGTATAGACCATCTTCGTATAAATCAAAGAACTTTTGTAAAGTGTTTGGATCAGTTTTCGGCTCCTTTTCGACATTACTGCTTGTCTCAATTGATGAAGTTACACTCTCATTAATATTAGATGTTAACGAAGTAACCGAATTATCATTTTTTTCCGATTTATTTTTAAGAAGATTTAGTTTTTGGCGTAAATTTACCTGATGTTTATCACGTAAACGAGCTCGTGCCATATGCGCTTTTAACTGAGAAAGCAAACTTTCCCAATAACTAATGTCTACACCGTCTGATCTAGACTTTATTTTATTTTCTATTTTGAAACGTAAATCATTTAATTGTTTTGCATTCTTCTTCCGAAAAATTTCAGCGACATCTTTAGCCACGCAGTCATGTATTCCTTCTCTACGCCCACATGACCCACTTTCAAGAGAACTGTTTGTAATCTTTCTTAGCCTAAACAATTCGTCTTCAACAATTACTGTCATATCATTCCAAAAATCTGTGTTTTTGCCTTTATCTAGTTCTACATATATTTTAATGTCAATTAGTAAATCTTCAAGATCTTTTAAACTCAAACCATTTAACAGAACATACGGCTCGTGCATCTGTATTTCATTTGTATCTTCTGGCTTGAAACCTGACAAATATTGCGCTAACAAATCAATTGGCTTCGCCCGACCATCTTGTATTCTTATAACACTCCGCAGACGAGCTTGCTCTAAGTGAAACTGATCTTCTTGCAACTCCCATTCCTGAAACTGTGCAGCTTCTTTTACACGTTGCTGCAAAACAGATTGTTCTTCACGTACTTGCTTCTCTAATTCACGCTCTAACCTTCGTTTCTTTACTTTTTCAAGTTCAAGTCTGTTTTCCAGAAGCTTTTGGCGTGACAAAATATCAACGGTTTCAGTCGATACATTACGCAGACCATCTTTTTCTAACTTTTTCGTCCAAACGAATGTAGAAGTCAAGTTTGAATCTCCAAATGGATTGTCTTGATCAGTGTAATGCTGGTATTCAGTATCCCATCCCATCCTTTCGCGGCGACGCTTTTCCTTCGCTTCTCTTTCTTTTAAACGACGAACCCTTTTCTCTTCAGGAGTTTCCTTCGCTTTCATATCATCTTTGAGGCGCTTCTTTTCAAAACCATCTTTTAACCTACGCTTTTCTAAAGCCTTTATTAAATTCAATGAAGAACTCGACTCCATATCACTTTGGTGAGACAAATATGATTCTAACGAAGTCACAACATGCAAATATACAATTATTTAGATATGCATATGCAAATAATGCCTCGATACTTCTATCTTGTTAACGGTCTCCACTGGAAAAAATTGTTATCGCGTTAATATTATCAGACGCAATTTTTCCAAAACAAACTGTAACTGCCGACCATGGTATAAGGGAGTAGCGAAAGTCCCATTCACAGTAGTTTCGCCAACTCTGAGGCGTACGTTCACAATAAAACCAACATGGTGGCCATGGTGAGTTAGGGTGGCGAGGGGCTAAAACGGGTTGCGCATAGCAGAAAACGCCTAAATAATTATTTATAAATATTTTAAATTTTGGTTATTAATTGATGTTTAATGCTAACAATATATAATATCATACCATGTTGATATAGGTAAATATGCGGCATATTTTTAAGCATTTTAAATAACTTATTAATGGGCAAACTGAAAATTCAATTTAATTATGAGTGGACGGGAAGACATAACTATTGTATTAAAATTTGATACTATAAGTAATAATAATTTATATAATCAAAAAAGCAACACTTATCATTGCCATACAAGTGATAATAATTCATTTAAACAATAAAGCAAAATTTATCATTGTAATTATATCAAGAAATTTTACTAGTGCTCTAATTTAAGTATAGATATATGTACAATAGTTAATTACAACTTTTGACATACAAAATTACTATATTATTTAGTTTTTAAATATATAGACTTCTAAAACAAATTATTTTTTGAAGTTGCAATATCTTTATAGTATAAAATACGGTAGGCATATCAGGTAGTTGTCTCTTTATTTCAGCATGTAGCCATTATAATATGTACAATATTTTACATATAACTCTTTACATAAATCAATTACCATATTGTTATATAGTTCTAAATTTAGTTTTCAAATATATAGACTCCTAAAATACATAATTTGTTGAAGTTGCAATATCTTCATAGTATAAAACATTTTATAAGGGTATAAAATACGGTAGATATATATCTTTTTTAAAAAGTATTATAAAATTAGCTTGAGCAACACTGTTACGCAATGCTCAATAGCAATACTGGCATTTGAATTTATTAACAACTTTTAGTTAAACGCATTAATACACACCTGCTTATTGATAACAATTCTTGTTTGAGCAGTTTTATCAGGAGCAATATGAAATATTCATTATTTTACGAAGATTGTATTGTAAATTTATAAACATTGCCCTCATTTTCGTTGAATAAGCATTTTCCGCATGCCGTTATTTGACATGGTTGCTTAATTGCACCTTACATTTTTCTGTGGTGAATATTTATTAAGTTACCACAGTTTAAAAAAGGCATAAATATATATCGTAATTATTCTGAAATTTTCCAGGCGCTTTTTTAATAACATATATTAAAATGAAATTATTTTATTTTGAAAACATATTAAAGTTTTACATATAATCAATATTTTTTGGACAACTTTTTCATAAATTAAGAGAAAATAGCAAGATGCAACCATTTTCCGGCTAAAAGTCGGCCATCTTGGCTATCAATAAAAACTCAACCCCTAGGCGGACTTGACGTTTCACCATGGACCCCTCTCAGCTGTAGCATTGTTTACATCCAGCTGATTCATTCTCTAATCCCCCTTTACGATGCTGCCGGCCATTGTATAAATCTACAAGTTACCAATTCTAAGATTTTCACTAAATGTCCCACTTGGTACGGGTTGCATCGAAAATTCTACTATTAAAATCACACTTGGTACGGGTTGCCTACTTATATTCTACTACTAAAGTCACACTTGGTACGGTTGCCAACCGATATTCTGCTACTAAAACCAGAGAACGTATATCATTTAGAAGGTTCATGGTGTGCCGATTGTCAAAATGTTCCTCTTAAAGGAGGGTTACTCGCCAACTTAAGAGGATCTCACCACAAACAAATTATAAGCTGATTTCACCAAAATTTTACCCCTGCGGATGCAAAATAGCAGAATTCTCAATTTTGAATGTTAAATGAGAAAATTAATGCTAAATTCAAGGTTAAGAAATGTACGATTACATATTCGTATATTTACAATGCGCAAACGACTTTGCATATAATTTTAAGATATTCTGCATATACAGGGCGGCCCACGAATGGTGCTACCAAAATAAACCGTAATAATTTTCTTTTTTATCAATTTTTTTTGTATTGTATAGAAAATTTTAATTTTATTTTATACAATTAATTATTCCTCCATGCTCAGCCACGCATATGCGACACCTAATAAGAAAATTAATGCGGGCTGAAGGATTAAAGTCGGGATTGCCTCAAATATGTATTTAATGGACTGCTTCAGTTCAATCAGATTTCTGGGTTTGATTTTGTTCACCTCTTGCTTGACATAACCCGATAAGAAAAAACCAAGCGGTTGCAAATATTCTTATACATATATATATGTATAATTATGTGTGCATGTAAACAAATATGAAAGTATCCATTATAATTGTTAATTTGTCTACATGCAACTATGTATGTAAATATGTACACTCATTGTTTCATGGGAAATCAGAACCATACATACTCTTACAAACATACATCGAACATGACAAGTGCAAAATCAACCCCTATTCATATACAACGTGGCATGCGTAAATGGAAACAAAGTCAACAAGTAGTGTGTATATATACGGGCAGTAAGTTGCAGATTGTTTGTGCTTTGTAGTACATAAGCGATTGTGATTCTTAAATGAGTGGTACCAAAAATAATAATTTCTATGTATTTAAAAATATATTACCATTTTCCTTAAAAAATTAAGAAAAAACGTGAGATGCAACAAGACACAGGAAGATAAGAGTGATTGGAGGAGTGATACTTAACCGGGGTTTACTTTATACATAAATCAGAGGAATATTGAATATTTTCTTTAAAAATTTTCTTGAATTGTAAATCAACAAATATACTATGTTGTCACTGTTATTCTAAAATTTTTTAATACTCATATTTGCGGGGTTGTTACTTCTCCCTTCTAAAGGGAATATCAGAAATTTGTTCAATTTATGATTTTTAGGTTTTGCCTTTGTCGCGAAAAGACGCTTGTAGGCAAAAGCATGTTCGGGGAGATGTGGGGGTATCTGTTTTTATGAATAAAGCGAAGTTGCTTGTTAAAAGTACGCCTGCGTTCATGAATAAAAATGTTGTTGTTGTGTAATTTACTATAAATTTGGGCTTCGCCTATTTGGCTGACATATTGACTTGTGACGATTGTTGTTTTTGTATAACAATGTTTGTAGTTTTTGCGGGTGACATATTTACATGTGTACGCATATACATATGTATGTTTTCATTAATATTCTCTATTACAAATGCATGTTCACAAACAAGATGTTAAACTACAATACATTCCTTTTATTTACATCTCTGTGTCAAAAAAATGCAGATTCGATCAGGTGATCACGGCTGTTTCACATACATAGGAAAACAGCTAATTCTTGGTTACATGTAAGCTTATAAAATGATTCGAAACTCCTCTCTTTGACGTCTTTGAAAGCTCATGAACTTTCAGTGCTGCCAAAAAAACCAGTTCATGAGCTACTGAACAGATGAACAACCACTAAGAATCCCACAGAAATAAATTGCGAAATCAGTGTTTAATTTGTGAGATCAGATTTTTTGGTGACTTTTACGTATATTTCGAATCTTTATTTAAAGAGATTTACTATATTGTAGTTTTGTTTTTAAGAAAGAGCGGGTATTTTGTCGCAGAGTATTGTTTTGCTTAGCAGTACTAATGCAATAGCAAATGTTATGTAAACTTTGACTTCCGAATAAGTTATCAAAAATTGTTATTTATACAGTGTATAAAAAAGAAATAAGGTTCATGTTTAGGTTATTTAAATCTTGTAGGTGTTTTGAAATCTTAAAATATTTTGTTAAATTTAGTTTTAAACGTTAATTTTGAAAATCTTTTGTGATTAAAATATACATGTACATATTATATATTTAGACGTCATATAGGATATCTAGCTTGTTAAACTAATTTCAATTTATAGTTTTCTGTTAAATAGAAACCGAAAAATACACAAGAAATACATTAAAAAATCTCAAAACTTATTTATTTCCATTGTGGCACAATTGTCAAATGTTATAAAAAATACGGATTTTGACAGCGCTGTTTCGAATCAAAGAGTTTCGGATCATCGTATCCATGCTGCCGACAAACGTTATGCCAAAGACAGGCATATAGGACATATTGTTGTATCCTACAGCAACCATATGTGTGTCAACCGTATTTTCAATTTTTGTTCCAAAACATATGAAGTTCTGTATGACATACGAAAATAATAAAAATCAACATAACAGAAAAATAAAATAAAATAAGTGGATTTTATTCTTCTGTTGCCCCGTCTTTATCTTGAAATTAATCTTTTTTGTTCCTTGGTCCTTTTTAATGCGCATAGAGCTGGTGCAAAATATTTCCTTTTTCTTTTTCGTCATAAGCAATTTGGCTTTATTTTCCTGGTTTATATTTATTTGCTTTTAGTTGATTTAAATTTTTTTGCTTCAGCCGATGAGTGTCAAACTCATAGAAAACCATATGTGTGTCACTATGCTAGTACATGGTTTCCTGAGATTTTAGTGTATAATACATTGTTGTACGTCTGTATTTAGCATATTGACCAATTTACATGGAACTTTTGCATCGTTCTGCCTCCGGGATTTGTTTTGACAGAAAAGTTCGACGTATGCTTTTGTATGCGTACGTTTACATAAAAGGTTTTCGATGCGAAGCAATGCAAAATATTTAGCTACTCTCATCTTTTTACGCTATTTTTATTAGAGAGAAACACTGAAAGCAAAGCGTTCATATTGGCATATTCTTTATTTTCCGCGCTTCGTTGATTTAGTATGAGCTGTCACGTAAAGCGAAGCTAGTGACATGTAAATGGGCCTTTACTATCCAGCAATCGAACAAACGGGCAGCATTTGTGAAGAAAGCCTGCGCTAACATGTCTTATAACGCATGCGCAGTATTGAAAAGTACTTTTTTTGCGTTAAAAACCTGTAGTAACACTTAATTTTTTTTTCTCTATAAACTACTATAATTGATTTAAAGAGCCGTTTTCTCAATATATGGTTAACCGCTTACCATAACTTAATCGACAACATGTTGAAAATTGGATTTCTCAATTTCTGGTTAGCAACTATCTGTAAGTTAAGTTCTGGTAAAATTTACCGAAATAAGGAGTCTTGGTTAGTTTCTACCCAGAACAAGAAATGACAGCTGCCAGCTCTTCTAGCATGTATAAAAAAAACTTA